CTCTTCACGTGGATCGTCTTTACTATTTTAGATGCGATTTTTTTGTTTTCAACTACATTTAGTTTTCATTGAGTACTTAGGTGTATTAAATTGATAACATTTCAGACATTGTTATAAATATTTTTATGTATTTTGATTTTTTAACCAAATGTTCGAACAGTTTTAAATTCGAATTTGTTATTGCATATTGGTTCGATTATAGAACAATTGTAAACATTCCAGAAAATAGAGCAAATTGAAAATAGTTTGTTTGATTCTTGGCAATTCTCATCATTCTCAGCGGTAGGGGTTATATAACAATTACTATGGTTGTTGAAATACTGAATATAAATGGGTTTTGCTTGAAAAAGCTGTGTGGGCAAAGACATGGATAACAGATAGTGTATGTATATATATATATATATATATATATGTATATATATAATTGTTTAAAGGTACAAAATTTAATATAATTAGATTTTGGTATTCTCTTATAAAAGATTTTGATACAAAGAATATATTTAATCTGTTACTAATTGAACTAATTTTTTTTTGTTAACAGTATTGTAAGAAGTTACATTTATGAGACATTAAATGTGTTTCTTCTGAAAGTAAGAGTCAGAGCAGGATTAGAACAAATGATCGATTTGCTAATAGAACAGATTCTAGGAGACATCAAACCTGAACAAGTGGTGACAAAAGTATGCAATGCTTTTTTCATTTTAATTCTGTTAGTTTGAAACACTATTACAATAGAGATTTTGTGTTGTGATTTAGTTGCAGCCAAATTTTTCGCAGCCGTTGAAATATAAAGATCATAAAAGAGGAGCTTCAGTTTTTGGTTCGGATTTAAATAGGGCAAATTTTAAGAGAGATGCAACGGCAAATTACATAGTCTGTAAAGAAGCTTTGAGAGGTAACTATAATTTGAATTTTTTGCTTAATTTAATAAACAAATTTATATATGTTTATATTCTATTAAAGTATAAAATGTAGGAACAAAATAAAAATGCAAATAAGAAATTTTTTGCTTAGCTTACAGTATGTAAGCACGGTCTAATAAATAATCATACAGCATATTTCTTAGATGATGATCTTACTGGTAGAAATAATTATTTAAATTGCTGTTAAATTCTTCATGATGATGCACTTAGGGGATATAACGATGATTGTGTATGTATTTCTGTTATCACATAATAATTGTTTTTTACATTTGTATGGAAATCTGCTTTACAGTATAAAAATTATTTATTCATTTTCTTTGTATTAATATCTCTGTCTAATGATTTTCATTTGAATCTCTGTTCTTTTTTATGTGAAAGTTTTTAGCCCAGTACATGAAAACTTATAAATCTCTAATGACTATAGCTAAGTGTTAACTATATATTCATTTAATAACAGGACTGAAACAATACAATAGAACAAATTAGTCAATTAATTGTTTTTCTTTGTTGAATTTCCAACTTTAACTATAAAAGTGTCTTGACACACTTGGCTAGTTTGGTAGCCAGGTGTGCAAAGACATTGCTTTAGTTCGTTGGATTGCAGGTTTGAATCCCACTTTGGACACGGATGTTGGGCTGCAATTTGAAAAAATTGTAGACCCAAAAATTATTACTACCATTCGTCTGTCTATTCTTCCATCCTTCCTTAATCTCAAGAATGGTGTTAGGTAGATGAAAGTGGAGACCAGATATTGAAAGCTTAGGGACAGGAAGTCTCTTATATGAACTTCTGGTTTAGACCAGAAGTTGCGTGATTTCAATTTGAAACTCCCCCCCCCCCGAATGGCATTACATAGATGACCGGAATGACTCTGTTGTTATAAGAAAAAATATAAGCTATGGGGCAAGACACTACTAATTTGAGATGGAGAACATATATTTTAAATGAAATAAATTAAGAATACAATTTAAAATTGCAGCCCAGCATTGTGACGATGTCACAATAAATAATTGCTCGTTTGTGATAGATTTTAATAGGGATTGTCCAAATTGTTTAGCTTTGTGTGGCATGTTAATTTAATTAAAAAATTAATTTTTATCCAAAAGATTCTGCAGGTTTTGAACCATTTATCAATTTATCAATAATATGTGTTTGTTTCATTTTATATGGAACAGAAATACAATAGAATAATTTGTTAAAGCAGATTTAAACATAGTTTCTTTGTTGTTTTTAATTGGTTCCCTGCAGGCATTACAAGAGCCTTTTAATAAATTAATTACAAGTTTGACTGGGCTTTCAATAGTAAAAACTCCAACTCAACTAGATCTGGAGTTTTGGAATGGCCGATGCCCATCTTAGTTTCTTTGGCCTTTCTGTATTGTAAATTTCTTCATTTTGATATGACTAGAAAACATCAATTTGCAATAAAGATATAATTGGTTTAGTCACTTCAATAGTAAATGAAATTGAACATAGTTAATAACATTTATTAGGGATTCTAAATTTTCATACATTGTTGGAAATACGATAATTTTGAAGCACTTGTTGAGTAATGATTCTTCTCACAATTATTTTTTAAACTCATTTTTCAAAATATTAATGATTGTTAGAAAATACATTCAATAAGATTTTTCTCTTTAGAAAAATTGTATTGAATTTATTTACCAAATTTAATTAAATTTTGTGCTGAAAAAGTTATTTATTACTATAAAAATTTCAATATTTTATTATAATTTTAGCTTCAAAAGTGGATATAGAAATGATATTTGAATATATTTTCATTTTTCTCACATCCAAAGACAAAATTGGTTTTCTAAGATAATTTCTGGGTATTTTGTTTTAAAATTTACTTATAATTGTCACAAGTTTAGATAATATTTAATTGGTTTATATCAGCAGTGGCCAACCTTTTTGGGAAGAGTGCCACTATCTGGAAAAAAACTTATGCATTTTACTTCCAACTTTTCCAACATACTAAAAAATATAAAAAAGTGAAAAAATGTTATTTATAGGCTGATTATGGGATTTTTACACAAATAGCACATTTTTTTCATGTAAGTCTGAGTAGTGGAGATTTAAAAAATAATAGAGAGGTTGAGGCGCACGTATTTAGCCCAAAATGTGTACGGGTAACGGGTGAGCGCCGCCATCTGGCAGTTCTGGACCGTCGATAATGGCGTTTGCTACGTGTAGCTTGGTGGGTACACGATCGGCTTAAACGTCTTCATTTTTTTGTGTTTGGGGTTAAAATTATGATTTATTTTGCTTCCGCCATTTTTTTCAACTTATTTCCCGTGAGTCAATGCGCGATGTTCACTGAGTCACGTGATGTTATGAACGTGTGCCTCAACGATTTTTACTTGGACTTGAAACGTGTAACGTGTACTTCTGCTACCTGTACATGTTTAACGTTTGAACTTGTGCCTCAACCTCTCTAATATAATAAATATAACAAAAGTACAAACTTAGGTTTTATTGTTAATAAACATTTTTAAAGGTTCATTCAGTTAGGTTATGTATAAAATAAAAATGAATAACTTGAAACATTTAATTCTAAATAATTATTAAACTTAAGTAATGTCGCTTTTAAATTTTAGTTTTTTTCAAAGTCATCTACATTAGGATTAGTTCTTGAAGATGCTAACAAAATTAGTGTTTTAGGTGCATATCAGTTAATCTTGAACGATATTTTATTTTATTATGTTCATAATAGAAAACATTTATTTACAAACATATGTTGATTCAAACCTACAACAATATCTGACAGCCAAATATGTATGGTGCTGTAGGTCAATAATTTCAATTTGGATTTCAAGTGGGTAACAATTAATGTCTTGCAGAGAAATTGAAAAAGGATTTGTGAAAAGATCAGCATTTTTTTTATAACCTTGAAAATCGTCAAACCTAGCACTGAAGGAATCCTGCAAAATGGATATTAAATTTTTAAATCTATCATAGTTCGGAGCATTATTGACTTTGGTAGCTAGTTCCTGCATTAATTGTGAATTAGTTGATCTTTTTTCTCTAAATTCTTGCATTAATGTGAATGTGTTGATCTTTTTTCTCTAAAATTGAGACAAAAAAGGAAAAGTTTGTTTACAAAAGAAGATATATGACCAACTAGGGTAGGAAAAATACAATCTTTTCCCTATAATCTTAAATTTAAATTATTTAAATGTCCCATAATATTGGTGAGAAAAGCTAAATTCCATAGCCAATCTTCATTCTTGAATAGCAAGCACTCACTGGGCAGTTCATTGTTTTCTTCCAGATATTTTAAAACACACTCCCTCAAATTCCAAAATCTCACGAGTGCATTTCCTTTGTAAAGGCAGTGCACCCTATAATGAAGGAGTAACATGCCATTGTAGGTTTCTTCTGGGAACAACGTTTTTTCTGGGAATAGCTCACGAAATCGTCGTTGATTCAGAGCTCAAGCTTCTATTTTGTTGATACAGCACGCTTTAGGGTCAACAACAGAAGACAGGTTTAAGTCCTTGGCACAAAGAGCTTCTTGATGGATAATACAATGATACTTAAAAACTTTTCTTTCCAAATAATTTTCAAGCAATGTAACAAAACCTTTTATCCTGCCAACCATACAAAGTGCTCCATCTGTGCAAACACTATCTAATTTTGTACATTCTACTAACTTCAGTTACATTTTTAAGTTCTTTAAAAATGTCCTCACCTGTAATGAAAACTAGTTGGCGCAAATGAAATAGTTCTTCCACAATATCAAAATTATTGTTTGTGTAACATACAAATATGTGTAACTTCACATTGTCTGTGATGTCACAGCTTTCATCCAAAGTTAATGTAAAGTATTTGAATATTGTAGTCCAGAGACAATTTGTGTGCCAATATCCTGGCCCATGTCATCTATACGACGCATGACGGTATTTCTAGACAAAGCTATTTTATCAACCATATTTTTGACGTTTATATCACTGACATTTTGGGAAAATATTAAAAGGCCATTTTTTAATATCTCCTCTCCGTCAGAATAATATTTCTTCTTACGGGCTAACAACAGAGAAAGTTGATAAGAAGCCTTCACCATAGTTTCCATAGGTGCCAAAGCAAGGTATCTCAAACTATTGGGCTCGTCCCATGACCATGCTGTCTTACCGCATCGTTGTACTGGTGTCAAGCTAGTGCCGCTTTCTGGCGCTGTTGTATTGAGTAGCATATAAGTATGGTTTTTATGGATTTTGACAAAGTTCCTGAAGATGACATATAAATACTATACACAAATACATATCATATTATTTTTTTCAAATTTTTTAATTTTTCAATAAGTCTTCGCGTGCCACTGTTTAAACTCCGCCGTGCCACGGGTTGGCCATCCACGGTTTATATGAAAAATAAAATAAAGAATCATGATTCTTAGAACAAAGTTGATTAAAATATTTCTTGTTCCACAAATTTTCTTCTTAATAGAAAGAAGAATTTTGTTTTAATAGTGTAGATAATAGTAAATATTTTATTTGTTTTGTGATATTCACATTTTGTCTTGAGAAAATATCACTGACTCTTATCATAATCTAAAAAAATCAGTTTATTTCAGTTAAATATATAAAATGAGATATTTTTTAGGATTATGTAATTAAAAATTCATACAAATTGAGACAACTTACACTATATAGAAATAACTAAAATTTGAAGGATGTGGTTTCACAAACATATACAAGTTAAAACATTATACAGTCACCAACATAACTTTTTCTTTATTATGCCTTTGTGTCCTATATCTTAATTTAATATGTATCTTGTATACTAGTACTTTATCAATTAACAGGACTTATTATACTGGATTTATGGATGCAGAAATCTAGTCTTACAGATTAGAAATAATATTTTTTATTTAGTTCACTTGTACACATACACTTTAAACTTGTGTTTCGGACTTGTTTGTTCCTCATCAGCAGGCATTCAAAGGACACTTTCTACAATTAAATTTCTTTTCAATTATAAAATTAAAATAAACATAAATTTTTCCTGACAATAAAATAATAAAATTCTTACAAATTCAATATTTTTGAACTTCATAATTCCAAGTATATTTGAAATCCATATTAACCATATAATTTCATATCCATAAATCCAGTATAATAAGTCCTGTTAATTGATAAAGTACTAGTATACAAGATAAATATTAAAATAACCTTTTCAGTTTATTTAATGCAGATATATTGAAGTAAAATTTCTTATAGTTAGTGCATATATATTTTTATATGCATATTTTTATGTGCTGCAAGTTAAAACGTTATTTTCATTAAAAAAAAACTCAACTGCAAGTTACCTATAAAGTATAATTAAAAATCAATACAATAAACTATAAATACAGATATGCACCTCGTAATGACAGGGATATGTTCTGAAAAATATAGTATGGTCTACTGCTAATATAGGCTATAACATAATTGTAACACAGTAATAAGTATTTATAAGTCTAAACTTAGAAAAGGTATGGTAAAATATAATATTTTGTGTTTAAAACTAATTTTAAACACATCTAAACACAAAATACTTTTATTTGATTGACTATGCTTTAGGTTTACTTATTAATGTGTTATCTGATGGCACTACCATTCTGTGCAATTATGGTGGCTATGCGTTTTTGGCTCTGTTACAAACTTACGGGATCACGTATGTAGTACATCGTTAAGCAAACATTGTTAAGCAGTGCATACCTGTATCATTTATTGTGATTTTATTATTTTCTAATATTCTGCATGAACATTTATCATTATTAGTTTAATTTTTGCATATATAATAAACTTTATTTATTATTATAACTTATAATATAAAATGCTATTTTTTAAAAATTGTATAAAGTACAACTGCAATGTGTGCTATAATTGTTACATACGTATCAATAGTTTTAAAATTAGCAAACTGAAAAAGATATTTCTTCATTACTCAGATTTTTTTTTACGAATTGTTATGTGAGATTCATAATATAGATTAATGATTATGAAAAGGTAATAACCTTTTCATAATCATTAATCTTTTGAATAAAAATAAAAATTTTGGCTTATGAACTACATAAAACAAAGAAATTAAACCTTTATTTATACATTTTTTGATATAAAATAGTATTATAGATTTTTTTTTAACATTTATCATGTTACAAGTAGAGTTTTGTAGTGGGTGAACAATTGTGAAGTTTACTTGTGAGGAGTGAAGTTGATGACAACAGTGAAAAGTTTCAAATGATATCCCTCAATTCTAATAAGTATTAAATATGTCTATTCTCAAGACGTATTTTTTGAAGAACATGGCAGAGCGGTAACACATGTGACTGGCTCTGCATTGCCGAGCTTACTTCTCACAAGTAAACTTTTTATTTGAATAACCTATATATTAAAATATTACAAATAAGTAAGTTTTTAAGATTAAAAAATCTTAATTATGATATTTAGCCATGCAAGCTTTGCTGTATACTTCAGGAAGTCTACTGAAACCAAATATTTATCAGGTGAATTTATAAATGTTTAATTTTGTAAATAAAAGTAATTGTTTACACCTTAATCACATAATTGTCTTATTTTCAGGATATTCATAGGAATGTCGTTATGCTTTTATTAGATGTTCAGCAGAATCTGGAAAACATACAAATTCCCTATAATAATTCCGGCTGTCGGTATGCACTGTATAGTCTACTACTTGCTTGTTTATTAAATTCTCCACTAGAGCAGACTTTACCGGTTCAGACTGCAGTCTGCTTATTCAGCACAGGACAGAAGGATGATTGTATCAAAGTATGTAAATTATCTTAGTTTATCTTATTAATCTGTTGTACATAAAGTAATTATTCACAAATTTACTTTTACTTTTAGATTGCTGAACTATGCACAATGGCTTTAACAGTATGTAATGGCATTATGCATCCTCAAGTGACAGTTATTAGGAAAGAGTCTATGTCGATCGTGGACGATCATAGTCGTAAAGAAGATAATTTATGTAATCCAAACGAAGTTCCTGTATATATTCCTATTATTGATAAAAGTGATTTAGAATTTAATGTAAGTCCCACAAAAAGTTTGGTGCATAGTGAAGTAAACATATATGATGAACAACAAATGGAAGATATTAATAAGGATTGCGAGAGTGAAGTCTACAAAAAGGAAGAAATGGAGAAAAACGTTTATGAGGAACATGAAAATGATATTTATGAGACAGATAAGAAGTTTTGTGTGGAACAAAAGGAAATTTGTGAAGAAGTGAACCAAGTTATTGATGAGCAAAAACAAATTTGTACAGAACAAGGTAATGTTTCTGATGAATGGAAGGAAGATTGTGAGAAACAGAAAAATTTTTGTGATGAAAAGGAAGACGAGGATTGTGAGGAACAAAACACAGAACAGAAGATATATGTTTTTGAAAAACAAAAGAATGAAGTTTGTAGAAGAGATTCCAATACTGATGTTGAAAATGCATCATTTTTAATAGATAATGAAAGCCAAACTTCAAAAGAATCACTATTAAAGGACAATAATAAAGAAAAGCAAACTTCAGAAAATTCTCCAAGTAGTTACAAAGCAGACAAAGATAATGAAATATTAAAATCTCAAAAGAGTGATTCTATAACTATAGAAAATTATAAAAATAATAAAATTACTGATGAAAATGTGTCAAATAAGTTACTTATGGAAAATCACAATGCAGAAAATTCTCCAGAGAAAACTTCAGAAAATCAACGGAAACGATGTTTTTTGGAAACTGAAGATAACTTAGACAATAAAAAGGCAAGGAAAGTAACAAAGGATGATGAGGTAATTTAATTATTTTTTCTATTTTCTTATTTTACAATGTATAATATTTCTAAAATTCTGTTTAATATGGCCATGCAGTAAGTCAACAGCCTAATGTTATGAGGGATCTAGTTTTGAATTTGATCTTTAATAAATTGATTATTAAGATTTGTGTAGAAAATACGAAGCTGTTTAAATATACAGAAGGTTCCATAGTTGTCAATAATTTTGTTTAGTTAATTATAATATTAAAGGATAATATACTATGATCACACTCCCATACAAAGTGAATTTGATAAATATAAATTATGGCATTTTTACAAAGGTAAAAACCCCTTTTTTCTGTCAATCTTTCTGCCATGTTAATTTGATAATTAAGGAATGTAAAGTACACAGATTTCTGACTTATTGATTTTTTGATGAAAGTAACCATCATTTGCATCAAATTATTTCAACAATCTCTGAGATAGTTCAGTGGTAAAGGAGGTCAAGATGTTGGCCTACTATTCTGTTGATCAGGGATTGAATACGAGCGAGTGATACCAGGAATCTTTTTGTATGAATTCTGTCCCTAATATGTCAGGTCTTATTTCTGGCTGCCCTACTGTGGGTCTAGTCAAACCCCCAACGGGCACGGTAAAGGCTCCTTGATGTCTGTGGGGCAGAAAGTGTCAAAAATGAAAAAAAGTATAGTGTCTGGAATGCAAAATATGTCAAGGCTAAAACTGAAATTGTTAGGATTTTTATTATAAAGTTGTCAGGACTCAAACTGCAAACTCCTAGAAATCTGTTATGATTTATGCATTTAGAAATTCTGCTTACTCAGGTTTATATATGATAATATAACCTTCAACAGCTGTAGAATTATTGGATTAGTTGCACATTTTGTTAATAATGATCCTTTTTATTGGCATGGATACTGTGTTAAAAATGAACAGACATTGTGCTTAAATTTTTTAGAAAAATTTCCAGGAATTTTGGTTTATGTTAATTAAATTAAATCTTGGTGTGCACGATGAATTTTTCAAGACCAATTTATTACTTTTTACAATAAACAGTTTATTGTAAATTGTAAAACTGATTTTGCTTCTAAAGATGGTGGAAAAGTGTATTGAATGGTTGAAGCATTTACAATTAGTTGAGTTGAGCAGATGTGGAAATCACCAAATGGCAAAATGGAGACAGGTTATTTTACTATTCTCTTTTGTCATTTTTTAAAGTTAGGTAAAAATATCCTTTGGCATTTCACACAACAGCAGAGAAGAGTGTATCAATAATCAATAAGTAGCAGCAATGGAAAATATGCACTAAAGAGACATTTTCAAATAATGTTTTAGATACAATATTTATGTTCAGTTTTGGAGTTTCCAAAATGTCTCATTCATTAATTATTTTTAAATTTCTTGCTATAATAATTAGTATAAAACCAACATGATGTATATTAATGATTGTATGATATGGTCAAATTAACGAGCCATGTTGCAGCCTGATTAGAATCTCGCCGTATTGTTTGTTAAAATTATTAAAATAAAAATCAATGTATAAGTGAGGAATTGTTTTTGACTGAGATTGATTTTTGATTGTTTTTGACCTTGCTACTGTTATTTTTAAATTGATAGCTTTTTCATTCTGTTCATCAATAAAGTATTAGTAATAGATTTATGTTTTTGGTTGTATATATATTGTAAAATAGGATCTAGAATATATTAAGACTAGTAATAAATAGTTTAAGAATGGTAAATTGCTCTCTTCCATAATTTACTGTTTATGAACTGGATTATATAAATATAAACAAACAAGAACCCCTAATGCAAAATGTAAATCGAATATTAACATGTTTAAGGTACACAAATCTGCTCTGTGTAGGCAGCAGGTTGTACAGGTTCATTTTACTAGACAAAATAAGTAAGCAAATTTTTATAGCATTGCGCATTACATTTTGCATGGAATAGTTGTCTGAATTCCTTTTCGTCCATTCGTATTTATTGCCTGCCAAGACATATAAGTATATTGCAAAATTTTATGTCATTATGACCATTGTAGTATTGATTAAATGTGATAGACAATAGGTATGTAAATATACATTTTAGATTAGTCACTTAAGTATACCAACATCTGTCTGCAACTGTTGTGCGGTATCAACTTGTGCATCAGTAGTCGTAGATGATGCATTGCACCAGAATCCGAAAGTTGGTACAACACATATTCGGTGTTGTCTTTAACAATTAAAAATGTAATTTAATATATAATATGTAACTTGATTGAGCCAAATGTTAAAATAATAATTTAGATTTTCTATGTAATTACAGGTGTCTGAAGAAGAACTGGGTGTCGATGAAATGCTGTTGCAGTTTGTTCTCTGTTCTCCCGAAAAAGAAATGTCTCCCTAATTCTGGTTCTTTTCTATAAATTACAAATAACTATAATGTAATTCTCTATATTTTCATAAAATTATGTTACAAAACTATTGTGTACAGCTGGTTAAAATTGATTGTTAGAAAAGTTAAAAATATGACCATAATAAATACAGTTAAATTGAGAATGTGGTTTTATTTTGATAAAGAAGATTCTACATTTAAACTCTGGTTATATCTAGCAAACATTTACTTAAGTAAACATTTGTAATGTTATACACAATACAGAGAATATATCTTGACAAATTGGTTGAATTATGTAATTATTTAAAGCAAATATACCAAGTACCAAAAATATATGACACGATTAGTGTATTGCATATATGATAATGCAAATTATCATATCTATATCAAAATATGTGTGAAAATATTATGAGAGAAAAAAACAAAGGTATTTTCACTCCAAAGTACAGCATCATGGGAAGAAAATGAGCAGTATGAAGTGAGAAAAGGAAGGAATAGAAGAAAGAGTAAAATACAGTATAGTCCCACAGACTCAACTTAATGTGGATAGATAGAGAAGGCGAGGAGCTTTGTGGATTCCAGGGGGTTATTCACAACTCATAATACATTACTACAAATTCAAAATATTTTAATAAAAAATCTTTTAACACATTCAGAGCAAAAGAAAATCTACAGTACAATTACTGTACTATAAAACGTTGTCTGGAGATAAATTTTTATATTACATGTGTTACAAGATATATGTGCAAATTCATATATGTATTAACTATGTACTGTACCAATAATGACTATTTCTATTAGTAGTAAAATATTCTTTGTTAACATGTGGAGTTGATGCTAATATCAAGAGTCACAAGTGAAAAACAATAACTTATTTGATTGTAGTGTTGTTATAGAGGTAAAAATTAGATTACATTTTTTTTTTTTGAATGACATGACAAGTTTTATGGAAAGTTGAGTTTCCAGGACTCTACTGTAATGGAATGATAAAGTTCTGTTGGCATCCTTGGCAATGCTGCCTGAAGAGAGCATAATATTTCATCCCAAGAGACTTACACTTTCAGTTCTTATTAATAAATCTACAGTGTAATTGAATATTAGAATCCTGCAACAGTTGATGGAAAATTGATTGTGACAACATAAATACTAACAGAAATTGAAGTAGTTAAAAAGTTCTCCTCCCCAAGCATTGTAATCTAAATCAACACAATTGCATAAATCATTGACATATTGAGACATATTTTAATCAAAGAATTGGATCTGAATGAAGGAACTTGATTTGAGTCAGTTTTTTATATATATTTATTAGGAATGGAGCAAATAAGTATTGCTTCTGTCCAAAGGTATGTAATTGAAGTGCATACAGTGTTGGACAATTAAGTTTAGAAACTGATCAATTATCTCAGTTTTCACTTATCTAGCATCACTGCTGGTTGTGGGAACGTGTAAATATCTTTTGAAGGCTAAAAAGAAATTTAATTTGATTGCATTTACAGATTTAGTTTCTGTAAAGAAAAAAGAGGTCTCTCATTTGATGTGGCCAAAAAGCAGAGAACTGTTGTGCAATGGGTCAACATAAAATTTTGTGCCTGAATTGGTAAGACACCAACCTAGATGCTTTAGATTGTTTATGGAGATGGAACTCTTGCAGCCAATGTAATCTTACAGGAAAGGGGTTATCTGACGAGAGGATACAAATGGTGACGAAATGTATGGTGCACCGGTGATGAAAAGCAATCTGGAGAGCATCAAGTGTATCTGGAATCTTATGTCTGATTAGAAGATAACACATAAAAGATATTAATGTCAGTTGTGAAACTTGTTTAGCAAGTTGCTTTGAAATGCCCAAATATGCAAAGAATATTGCCAAGTTTGTGCCAGGATTGCTGATGTTGGAATGTTATTGACAAGTTGTAAGTGAGTGTCTTGACCATCTGAAAATAGACAACATTTTGGAACAAGTGATCATGGGAGATGAAAGCTAGTGTTATCAGTATGACAGATGGGGTGGCGAGTGGCATGTAGCCGCCCCCTGGAATGTAAAGCCATGGCTCTCCAAGGTGAAAATGACGATGATGATCATTTGTTTCTCTGATGTTTGTGTCACATAGTGAATCAGATGTTTTGTCTGGTGGTTCTGAAATACACTTGTGATGCAATTTGGAAAAAGTGGTCCAAGCTGTGGCGAAAGAAATCTTGGATCCTGCACCATGATAATATGCCATCACTTTCTGCTGTCAGTGAGGGAGTTCATGATTCCAAAACAAGTCCCAATAATGAAGCTTTCCCATATTTGTCAAACTTGGCTGCAGCTGACTTCTGGCCATTTTCCAAAATGAAATAGGACCTCAAGAGGCATCATTTTTCAAACACATCCAAGATCAGAAAAGCTTTTCGCAAAAAAGTTTGTGACGGCTCTCCACTGATGCCTTCCAGGAATGCTTCTGTGGTGTTGTGGAAATCTTGCTAGGCCAAGTGTATTCAACGGGAGACTACGTCAAAATATTCTAAAACACAAGTATTTTAGAATATTTTGATGTAGTCTCCTCAAATTAAGTTTTACTAGTCCAGTCTTAGAACTTAATTGTCCAACTTTGTGTACCTGTACTTTCCTATTAATTCGAAATTTATGAATATAAGAAAATATTTGTATTGAGTACATACAGCATCCAATGTCTGCACACAGAAATATTTAAATAGGAAGAAACTATACTTTTTTACTTCATTGTACTAAAATTCTTTTGTCAATTTAACAATTTAATTATATCCAAATTATTTGAAAAAAATTATTTTAACAGCACACTCAACAATACCAGTTTTGAGTGTACAAGATGTGTTAGGAATTAACAGTTTTTATGCTAAATTTTGCACTTGGTATAATGATTAAAATGCAATTCATAAAAATACAGTAAGACCCTGTTTAACACTGCCTCGATTAACACTGTTTTGATATAACGTAGTCTGCTCAAAATTTGCCTTGATTTGAATTATTGCGGCATTTGATTGATTTGTGTATAATATGATTATTTACAAACACAAACCAATCAACAAAAGGTGGTAATTCGTCATAGCTCTATACTTTTCTAAAATCTATGTTTGGTGCAATTTAGGAAAAAATATAACATCGTGGATGCCACAGGCAATATCGATTTGGCTTGGCAAGAATTAACTGATAAATGCACGAGTGAAGTGTGGAAGAAGTTATGGCCGAAGGTATCCAAGAATTCTCAATGAGAAGAGCCTATCGCTGTATTGTTAGGTTGACCAAATTGTCAACCTAATCAATACAGCAGGACTAGGAGATATAGATGAGTAGGATATTGATTAGTTACAGCATGTTTCTGGTGAGAGCCTTACCAATGACAACCTTCAAAAACTGGCAGAACAATAAATTTCTACATGAATACACGTAGAACTGGAAAACAGAGATTCTGAAAACGAAGAACCCAGAGAATTTCTCTACAGATTTCCTTACTAAAGGTTCGGTAATGATAACTGAAATCGTTGATCAAATTGTAGTGAATGATCCAGATTTTGAAAGGCGCGCAAAAGTAAAACGAGGCGTTTTAGATGCAATCTTCTGCTACCAACATTTGTTTAGGGAAAGAGAAAAAGTGACAAATGAAACTACACGACTTTATCGTAAAAACAGGAATTTCAGAAAAACCAGGACCTTTGTCACAAAAAACAAACTTTACATTTCTGTGTGCATATGTTTGTGTTATTTACCATATATTATTATGAAAATTAATATAAAAATAACTTAAAATTAAAGTAAAATTGTTTATTTTTGGTGGCATTGTTCCCCTTTTCTTATTTACTCTATATTAAAATGACCTCGTTTAATGCTGTTTTATTTAGCACTTTGTCGTCTAGGAATGCATCCCCCATGTTAAGCTGGGTCTTACTGTATTTGCTATATACACAATGTGACTCATAAATGCATAAAATGCTGAGTATTTGATATACCAGGAAGTTCATAAAAAACAAAGAATAAAGATAGTAGATGGGATAAATTTATTATGTAACACCATTTAAAGTCTTGATAAAACTAAATGGGTATAGAACCTAGTAAAACAGAGTACAGAGGAGGAGAAAACTAATTAAGAATTTATAAAAGACATTAGAAGAATTTTAAAATCACAGAACTGAACTTGGGGATAGCCATTGATTGGCTAGAATTTGTGAAAAGGATTAGTGAATGGAAAAAATTATATTTTGTGTTTCTTTATGACACTAGAGTTGAAAATAAAATGCTTCAAGTTGCTTTTCTGACTGTACTAGTTTTTGAGGCTCTTTCAATTTCTTTTTGTTAGTATGGCTTTTGTGGCAAAAGCCAATGGATTAAATATTAATGACAAACTTCCTTGGAGCAATGTTCACTAATTATCAAAATTTGTCAATGGAATGACCAGAGTTGTTTGTGACTTAAAAATGACAGAAAGAATTTTTCAAAAAACATGATGCCTACCAATAAAATAGTAAAACAAGGATTAGATGAGGATTATAAATCATTGTCAGAAAACCCCTTATTAAGATACATTTCAATTCTGCATTCACAAAAACCTTTTAATTTATATAGTTTTACTATCTTTTAGTTTAAAGAAATAAAATTTTATTTAATCACCTGTATAAAGCTGCTTAAACTTTGCTTGTCTTCATATCTAGACCCAAGATGAGAGAGTGGCATACCAATGTAATGTGATTTCACAGTTTACATTTTTATTAAAATTTAGAAAAAAATTATTTTTCATTTCATTACTTGTTTTTTTCTCTCTATACTAAATTATAAATACAAAAATTAGTTAAAGATTTATTTTATTGTTACTAATTGTTTAGTTTATTGGATCTATGCATTTCAAGTTGTTGCATCTGTGTTAGTTTATGGTCTTCCTAAAACAAAGAAAATTATAGTGCAGTTCTCTACAGTCTGAATTTAATTAGTATATACAGCTTATTTATATGACCTGTGTTTAATCATACTTTTATATTTTAAAGAGATTTGGTAGTATTATTCTATTTCCACAATAAGAGAGACTATTCTTTGTTGTTTGCAAATCATATTGTAAATCATACAAGCACTTGTTGCTATTATGCATAGTCCCATATAGATTGAGGCAGCAGCAGATCGAGAACTGATAAGGTGGTCTAAATATAAAAAATATTTGAATAAGCACTTTTTATTGATATGTACTGTACAAGATGATCACATTACGGATGGTTAGGTAAACCGTATTTGCCATTATAGATATTTTTAAAAACATCATTTTGAAGTTCAAACAATTTTTTTGTCACGAGGAGGATTTAAGCTCCTACAATCCCATAGATTTGGATAGAACTGTCTCACAATGTAAAATTGAGAGTAGTGTCTGGCACCGGTAACGTTTTAGTTGTCAGTGTCAGATAGCAATGTCTTCAATTCAAACATTGCCTTATATTTCACACCCAAGCACCTCAACTCTACGTTTACGCACACACTTTGAGCAATCTGATGACGAGACAGTATATGACCATATTATGTTAAGATTGAAAAAACCTGCCAAATTATAACAAAAACATTATTGCCAGAGTTCTTTAGAACATCGTATGTCCAAATACATTGATTTGTGGAATGCTAACATGCCAAATTATTATTGGACAATTCCAGATTATATATTATGAAACATTCTGGATTAATGAGCTCCTACAGTATATATATATGAGAGTATAAACGAAAAGTATATAGACAAAAACAAAAATTTTAACAATGTGCACCTGGAATTTATTTATCTCATTGCAATATTAATATACAGCCTTTGTTAAAATATTTTAAAACTCAAAAAAAGAAAATGTAGGACGAATCTACAAGGAACAACTATACAACTACGACTCCAAGTCCGACCGACTCAGTCTATCTCGCATATGCCCCCGACGGCTTCCATGGCCTGCTTCAGCCTCTCGGCTTCGTCTTTGGAGACGTCCGCCTTGACCACCCGGGGTAGTTCTTCCACAAATTTCTTTGCCTGGACCAAATTCATTCCCTCCATAAGATTTTTCACTTCTTTGATTAGTGCAATCTTCTTTTCCGGCTCGAACTTGAGCAGCTTGACGGCAAAGGAAGTCTTGCTTTCCTTGGTGGTTTCCTCATCATCTTCTTCAGCTGGCGACGGTGCGGCCGCGGCCGAAGCGGACCCAAAAGCCATCACGGGAGCATCCGGGATGTTCAGCGTCGTCTTCAGCAGGCTGTTCAGTTGGCTGACCTCCAGAAGGGTCAATTTCGATATTTCTTCCGTAATCCTCTTCAGCTTCTCGGGATATTGTTTTTCAGAGTCACTAGGAGACGGTGTAACTAGAGCTTCTGTGGCGCATGGCCTATTAACTGTCTTTATTCTGTAAATATCACTAAAATGCTTACTAGATCGGCGCATACACTTCCACGATATTCTTAATAGAGACATCTTTTGTTTAAAACTGGTTAAAGTTCTCTAAATAGCAATAATTCGTTAACGTTCGAACAATATCAGTTCGCCACACTACCTCCACGCTTCCTAAAGCGCCACCTACCTAATTTTTAATTCTTGATTATAATAATAAATATGTTAGAAAATTAATGACTATGATAATTCTCTACGCAAAACTTTTAAAAGAACATCCAAATAATTAATTAATTTAATAACTAAAATGAATAAAGTGTAATTTTTAAACACGATTAATCATTTATAAATTTTACGATGGCTATGAATTTTAGACATTTCGTCATAATTATACTTATTTAAAAAACTTTCAATAGATTAATATTACAATTTATTTAATTAGAATTTTTAATTAATTAATTTTAAAAGAATTTAATTAAAATATCGAAGAGTCACGTGTCAACAGGTTTAATCGTCCATTGTGGTGGAATGGTCTGCGGCGAGGAAGTAGGAATGAATTAATGTGAAAATGAGCGTTTTCGTTATTTATTGTTTAATCTTCGTGCTCTCTCTTTTTTCTTCGTGTCTATCGGATGATATTTTAGGCTGTGGAGGATTTGTCAAGTCCGACGTTCCTATAAGATACTCCAGAGTGGAAATTAAACTGTGAGTCTCCGTTAATGCTTATTTACGTCAACAGATGGCACTGAGTTAATAAGTTTCTTAACATGGAAGAATATTTCGAAATATACTTCGATACAAAATTATTATTATTTTTATAATTGAGCTCAAGTATAACATTTAATAACTCTAATACCGAATTATTATAATTCTAAAATGATTTATTGCGTAGATGCAGGTTACACTAAATATTAAATTAATTTGGTCAAGATAAAATACAATATTGTGAAATGTAGATTGTGTATTTGGGGGAAATGTTTCAATAATATGTATTCTTGATAAAATATGTACCCTAGACTCTCGGTTAACGGGCACCCGTGAGGATCGGTAGATATCGGATATGTGTAGTTTCTGGTTGCTCGAGAGTTACTATTAAAAATAGGCCAAACTAATACTATACTGTACTGTAAACTCTGTATTGACTTAAGAATGAAATCCAGTAATTAAAAGCAAATTAATTAAGCCAAGTGAAGACAAACTTAACATAATGTAACAGTTTTATTATAAAAATAGCTTTGTGAGTGTGGTGTGTAGATTTAATTAAATGGCAGTGTGAGATAAATGTGGTGTGTGAAGCGGGGGATTACGACACAGTGTGCAATGTTTAAACTTGGGTTTTGGCTACAAATTGATTTTATTTTAATTTTTATTTAAAGTATTTCTTTGAAATTTTTGCCAGTTGTTTCAGATTCAGTTAATGGAGAATCTACTGTATTATTTTAGATTATTATTTAGAATCTATTGTATTATTAGAGCTTAGAACATAAACATGAAATGATTAGTCTTTGGAATTACAACTTTTTGAAAGAATTTGGTGGTTTTCTCATTTCTTTGGCTGTGGCGTCATCTCGATTCGGAAAAGCCGTGGTCGAACGGCAGAGGCCGTCCGACCCGATGCTTGGAGGTTAAGATGCCGACCTATTGCTCTGGGAAACTCGTAATCGAATCTAGATGATCAAAAATCTCGTGAATTTTTTGGTGTGGCTTGTCTGTTATAGTGGGAAAGAGTCAAGATTCTTTTAATTAAAGGTAGCTTTATCAAATGAATTGGATGCAGGATACATAATGAGAAGGAGTTGTTCTAGAATTTGTGAAGCTCTAGGCAAAACTTACTTTTGAGGAAAATTAAAAGAGCACTTTATTTAGGTCTTTGATTTCAAATATACAAACAGATACTAAAACACACATTAAAGTAATAAAATTGTTCATGATAGTTTTAGTCAAAAGGGGTTGGGAAATTCAATAAATGTACAGAACTACCCATACAAAACTCCTCTGCTGCTTTTAGCAGTGCCAAATTCAACAATTACAGAGGAAAAGTCCAGTTCTGCAGCAACATCTCTTTCGATGGACAAGATTGGAAGTGAAAAAGTCTCTCTCGACATATTGTTGATTGGGAGGTACTTCTCCATCAGTTTTTTAACTTTGAAAATGATTGTTCTGTAGACACAGTTACGATTATATTTTCAATAATTACTAATTTAGTGATTTAAGTAATAAAATATAGATGATCAATACAAAACCTTCCTCACTTATTTCTAGCCGTTTATACATGAGTAATATACTTGTGTATAAACGGCTAGAAATAAGTGAGGAAGGTTTTGTATTGATCATCTTAAAATAGTTCTAGCTACAAATGCATAGAAGTATAAAATATACCACCAAATTTGCCAGTCTCCAGATGTTGCCTTTTTTGCCTTTACCTAGGAACACCATTGATTATAAGATTTATTAATATTTAAAAAATGTTTGTAATGCTTAAGAAATTATAAATATTCATAAAATAGTTTTTGCTAAAAATGGATAAGAACTTTGAAATGCCCAATTTTTATTGATTTGGAGATACGAGTTGCTCTCAATTAATGTGATTAATTAATTCCTTGACATACTGCATATATCAAAATTACTTTAATCAAATACGATATCTATGTTAAGTAAAGATGGCCGGTAAAGCTGCATTAATTAAAATTTCTGCTGCTTATTTGTTTGTTAATCAAATCCTGTGTTAAGCAAGAGATACCTGTCTTTATTAAGATTTTTAATTCTATTGGCTACAAAATATAATTATGTGCAATGTAAAATATATTTTATTAGAGATAAAATTCCATAACAAATGCAGAAAATATCCAAATATTTTCTAGCTATAACTGTCTTTGAGGATGTTCATTACAAGAACTTCATTGCTATGAAGATTAAATTGAACTACATAAAAATATTTTTATTGTGATAATAGTACATTGTATTATCAAGCTTGTCTTCCAATTCTTCTGCTGCTCCTTTCCTTCTACTGTTCTTTTTGAGTCTTTTACCATTCATCAAGGAGATGGTAGTACTCACTTTGGGAATCACTGTCTATATGATAAGTATTCATGAACCAATTCTGAGGTAAAGCTAAAGATATAACATAACTATAAATTGACCTTTTCATATTAATCTTGCAAGTAAATTAAACTTCACTCTGACATCGGGGATGAAATACTAAATATGGAACCTGTTACTGGTGTAATTTTGCGTGAAAAAATCTTTCTTTCACAAACGCTGACATCGTCGACACTACGCCCCACCTGGAACATCTAAAATGGCAGTAAGCTATATTCATCTGCAAGGCTAACCACCTGACCACACGTATAAATCGGAAGGATGAGATTAATCTTTCTATAGCGTGGCAGGCCCTCATAAACAATGATCTATAAATATCAACATCAGTGCACGAATGCGCATGACCATCTTAATGATCGTTTGTTATGCAAGTTTCATATTTTTTGTTTAAACATCTGCATTCTATTTTTAGATTAGTTTTTTATTTAAATATCTACGTTCCATTTTTCGAAGTGTTCTGTTGGAATTTTTTCTATACCTGAGGAAGAGCTATCTGGACAGCTCGAAAACGTTTGTGAAAGGAAGATTTTTTCACGCAAAATTACACCGGTAACAAGTTCCGTATTTAGTTAATCTTGCAATTTTAAAATTCTGAAAATTTTGCTGTATGCTGGTTGATTCAAAGATAGGGAGATTGTATAGTAAAATATAATTTTAACTCAACGCCTTTGTAATCCAAAAAATTATGGTAGACTGTCTCATGTTGGTAGACGTTTTTGCATTGTAATCTAACATACAGCAATCCAATTATATTGTGAAAATATAATTTATTTTTCTGGATTTCTTTAAATCACAGCTCCAGGTTAAACCAAATAAGAATTTTTTGTTGGCTCTGACTGTTTGATTTGGGGATATTAATCAGTTTGATTATAGGAGTAAATGTAAATTAATATATATCTGGAAGTAAAGATTAGGCCAGAGGTCTGGGTAGCATAACGTGATTAAAGCTTAACTAGCAATGCATCAATTCAGTATGTTGTTTGCAACATACTGAATTGTATGAGTTTTGTTCTGGATTAATCTTTTCTTCTGGAATTTTTTAAACTATTTACTTAAATTTGAAATTAATTTTTAATAATTAATATTCATATGAGATGGAAATGCAATTATCTATTAATAGATAATTTTGACTAAAACAATAACACAGTACAGTTTGTTCTTATACTTTTTGTTTGTGTAGATGTTTACATAATTATTAAATCTGGCTATTATAACCAATAGACTAATCACACCTATACTGGCTGCCTATATAAATACAGATTATCTATTGAACTTTTGACCAGATGATGATCAATTGTAAAAGCTGAAATGCGTACTGGAATTTAAAATAGTTAATAGATTTTTGTGCTGTGTGATTACTCTGAATCTATTAGTTATTATAGTTAAATTTAATAATTATATGAACAAAAGTTTGTTCATGTAATTACAGTTTGCAAACAGTACAGTATTTACAGTTTTAATCCTTCTTAGCATCTACAGTTGGAAAGTTGTAATTCTCTTGCTGCTCTTGATCTGCATGCATCTTAAGATCAAAAATACACATGAAAAAGTATTTCCTCTATGAAAACTTTCCACAAATCAATAGCATTGATAGCAATCTGCACAAAAAGATAATTATCATGTATTATGGTGTAAAACTAAGATAAAAGGAATCATCACAATTTTGAATTGAAAGTGCATTATTTTTCATGAATACACTTATTTATGAAATTAATACATTAAATTAAATAATCTTAGGATCCTGTTATGATTTTTATAAACTTTATTGAACATGGAGACAGATATAAGCCAGAAGGACTTTGTTCAGTGTTATAATCCTGAAATTTGCCTTGGAAATTTAATATTAATACACAATTCTGTATTCTGTCAAACAGCAAAAAAGTGACTGTTATTGTAAAAAAGAATATTAGGGTCTTCTACTGGTTTGGAAAAACTTGCCAGATTTCAACCACATTGAAAATTTATTGGATCTTATGAAGAGAGAAATTTCTTGTGAAACATTACCAATAAGAGTCAATTGATTGAATGCTTAATTGTAGTTTAGCATTAGAATGAGAATATTAAAAATAACTGTTTAAAATGTATTCAATGCATGCCAAAAAGAATAGGGGCAATAATAGATGCAATAGGTAGAATTACAAAATATTACATTTTTCTGTTTTTCACATAAAACAAACAAAAATATTGATTAAAACGTTAGAAAAACTTGTATTACTTTTATTTAAAAAAAAAATCTATATTTTTATGAATTATCCCTAATAATTTGATCACCCATTATAAATTAATTGATGATAATACCATTATCATCAATTAATCAATCAATCAAGGGTCATTCAAATAAAAGTGAAACCTTTGGGTTTTTCTGTAATAGTTTATTGATTGATGTGAACATACAGGAAGTAATAGTGATATGTGGGTTACATATCTGCTACATATAATTGACTACTCTGTCAGTTCAACCGAGTGTCCCAGCACATCACTAGATTTTGGATACTCTGAGTGAAGAATGTCTGTGGTTCACTGAGGAATCTGTCTTCAGTGGTGTCTCAGACTTTGGCATTGTTAGTGAACTGGCAGCCGTTGAAAGCTTTTTGGTGACCCTAAGTTGTGACCGTTTCAGGGCTACAGGTCGGGGCTTCGGGAGGATGGACTAGGACGGGTGGCAACCTATGGCATGCATGCTTACAGTGGCACTTAAGGAGAAATCATCTGGCACACAAAAATTTTGATTTATCATCTGTCTTTTTCAATCATTCTTTTTGTATATCATCTGATTACCCTTTTTTCAATGAAGTTTTTTACATTTATACTAATTAAAGCATATTCATTTAATGTATTTAAATATCATTATTTGAAGTCTAAAACTTTGGCATGCATAAACATTAAATACATGATAACACAGTACAGTTTGTTCTTATATGTTTGTCCATGTAGATGTTTACATTATTAAAGCTAAGTATGCATACTATATGGCATGTGAGTTCGAAAAGGTTTGCCACTCCTGGTTTTGGACCTTCCAGATGAGGCACTGTAGCAAATCTTGGTACACTGTTGCCACATGCAGGAAATCATTTTTGTGCAACAGAATAACGCCATTTGACAACACACAGGTTTACTTACTTTTGGTGGCTACTTTGAGTTTGTACAACATAGTGTGCTTGTGGTTGGATGAATCCACATTATGACCGTACATAGTTAACTTGCTTCAGCATGTGCAAACAGCACACTAACACTTTCTGATGATAACAACTTGTTTCCTGACATACAATGCCATCTAATGATGCAATTGCAAAGCCTTCTTCTGTATTAAAACAATGGCACTAATACAAGAGTCTTTATTTGGGCAACTCATATGTGCAAGAAGACAAGATAATGCTTTGTTAAGATCAAGATCAATAATAATGGTGCTGGTGACAATGCATTGCTACGGAATTTACATTTGAAATGAGTGAATCTGAAGCATAAAGAATATTTATACAGGGTGATGTTTAATTCATGCAAAACTTTAATAACTTTTTAACTATATGAGATAAAAAGAAAATTCAAAAAGCATATTATACAGAATTTATTACCATTTAATGAATTAGGTTTTCAAAATGCACCTTTAGTGCAAAATCAGTTAAAAACTATTGCTGTGAGCAAAAACCTTTGCTCACAGCAATAGTTTTTAACTGATTTTTTAAACATTCAATAATAGTAATAAAGGTATTTCTTGTAATCACCATTATTCAGTTTTTTTATTGTGTCTATCAAACCTTCAATAGTTGTAGGAGCATTGTGATATACTTTATTTTTAAGATGGCACCATAAAAAGAAATCGCCTGGGTTTAAGTTGGGGTTATAAGACAGTACGCCAAGCCGCCACCAGCATATTTTTCATAGTCTAATCCAATTACATGCTTCTCAAACAGGCTGTAAAGGCTTTTGAACAATTGCTTTGTGCAATGGGGCCTTGCAGCATCATGCATAAACCAAGCATGCCAATGTTTATGCCCAACAAGCATTTTGGAATAAAACTTTAAAACAAAATATGTACTCTGTAACCAATGTCAGGCATGAAAACTCCAAACAAAGATTGGCAAATGCTTTCGATGCCCCTCCTGGGCTCTTCTTCAGGCCAAATTTACTGTACTGGATTCTTAAATCAAATGCTTTTAAATAAGAACGTGCTCCATTTCCAGAAATTCAAATAAGGAAGGCAATCATGTGCTGTTTCAAAATATAATTTTTGATAATTTATATTAGTGGAGATATGATGTGCACATCTTATAATAATCTCGTGTATCATACAATCACGTTTGTTTCTAAATATAATTTTTATAATTTTTGCAGTGGAGATATGATGTGTGCATCTTATAATAATCCCGTGTATCGTATAATAAGTTATGATTTATCATCCAATAAATACTGCCACGCTGCTGAGAGATTCATTTCTTCTTTAAAATTGATGCAGGTTAATTTGTGATCTTCTTTGTAAATCTCCATCGCTTCCAAAGTTCTTAGATGTTCCTGATGACGAGTGGTGTGGATAACCCATGCCTCATTAAAAATCGGGGGTTATGTCCGAGTTTGTCGCATATGTAGACAATGCTGTCGTATATTTGTTGTGGGTGATATCTGCTTTATGTTCTTTTATCCTAGTGGCTAATGGATGTTTAGTTGATCCTATGTAAATTAGTTGCCTCTGCCATCTGTCGTCTATTAAGGGGATGGTATATATTCCTGGTAGTCTGTTCGGGTTATGGGTGTCTTTTCCATTTCTTAATAAATTATGTATGGAAGGGTTACTTCTGTATGTAATTCTAATTCCTTTTTTCTTTGCAATCGTATTATATATCGCTTTCATTTGTGGGTTGTACGTTATCGGGACCCTTTCCATATGTTCTTCTTTATCAACTGTTCCTGATGCCTTTTCTTCATCTGTTTTACTGTTTATATGAAGGTGCTGATATAAAAATTATAATAATGGCATGTGATTGCCTTCCTTATTTGAACTTCTGGAAAAGGAGCATGTTCTTGTTTAAAAGCATTTGATTTAATAATCCAGTACAGTAAATTTGGCCTGAAGAAGAGCCCAGGAGGGGCATTGAAAGCGTTTGCCAATCTTTGTTTGGAGTTTTAATGCCAGATATTGGTTACAGAGTACATATTTTGTTTTATATGACCCGGTGTGGGAGAAATCTTTGGTTAAAACTTCTTTTCCAATAATTTGTCATATACAGCAGAAATAATGTTCTTTTGGAAGAAGAATGATCCAATAACTCTGCTACCACTGATAGCATGCCATTAATATATTGATAGTGTACCAATTGGAGAATTAGAATTTTGATAATACAGTAGAGTCCTGAAAACTCAGCACTCGGTAATCCGGCAGTCCAGATAACTTGGCACAAGCTGTTATCCTCCCTTCTTTCTGCAAACGATGATGGTCAAGGTCTTATCCAGAACTTAAAGAAAATTACCTATTGGATATTGTTGGCTGGGTGGTGGATGCCTGGAACAAGTTAGAGTCATTAACACTAGTTTGTTCCTAGTGTAAACTCCTTGATCACAAGGGAAATGAGTTCATTGAACATGATGATGCAGAAAATGTAAACTTACTCGACCTCCTGAAAAGAGTTCCTGGATGTGCAGAAGCTGATGAAAATGACGTTGAACAGTGGTTCCAGAACAATACTGAGCAAGACATTATGTCTGATGCAGAAATTATTGCTGCTGTCACAGTTAATGAAAAAATGCTGGAAAATGATGAAAACGTTGACATTGAGGACTCCACCGTACAAGCTCCTAAAATATTACATAGTGAGGGACTAAAGGCTGTTGAACCCACCCTTCAGCATTTTGAACAAGGTGCGTCGGTAATGGACTTTTATTAGAACACTTATGACTTTTATTACATCAGGTAATGGACTTACTGTTCCTTCGTCGTCTTCATGATGAAGCAGCAAAGCGCAGAGTGCAATGCGGAAGACAACAGGACATTACGCATTTCTTTAAAAAAAGTAGCCAGTTTTTGCAAAGTCGGCTAGTTAATTTTCATTATAGACAGCTTTATGTCTCATAAAGTATTTTTCTGAGATCTGTCTTATCAGGTAAATTACTGTACACTGTGCATTCATTAATTTTCATTTTCATATAGTAAAGGCTCTGTGCCTTCATCAAGTATATACTTTTCTTTTATTTAAGGGTATTTGGGCAGTTTATTCTCTGTTGTATTCTCAAGTAAACAATACATACAAGTACACTACAGTATTTTCTGAGGATACGCTCGTACTTATTCTTTTTTAACCCCATTCCCGATAACCTGGCATTTTCACAAACTCGGCCACCCTTCAGTCCACATTAGGCTGAGTTTTCGGGACTATACTGTAATTCTTTACAAAAACACACATTGTTCTAAAGTGAGCGCCACCATTTTGAAAATGACTGTTAAAATTAATCAATTATTGACATCAAAAATGTAAACATTGTACTATATAGTACTTTTTGAATTTTATTTCTGTCTCATTGAGTTGAAAAGTTATTAAAGAGTAAATTTTTTCATGAATTAAAAATTACCCTGTATATTGAATGTGTTTTCTTTTGTTAATTATATTTTTATGATTAGAGTGCTTAATTGAATGTTGTAAGGATGTGTATTGGTTATATTGTAAAAGGAAATAAATTTTACATATAGAAACATAGTGAAAGTGTATATAATTAGATGTTTATATGGTTAGATGACAATGTAAATTTAATTAAAATTATGTTTTTAACAGTTACACTAAACAAGGAAGCTTAAAATATCAAACAGACTGTGCACCAAATAATGGATATTACCTCATACCTCTTTATGACAAAGGAGATTACGTTCTAAAAGTGGAACCTCCCGCGGGATGGAGTTTTGAACCGAGTGGCGTGTCTCTGCGTGTTGATGGTAGCAGCGATCCCTGTAGCCTCGGCCAAGATATAAATTTTGTATTTCAAGGTTTTTCATTATCTGGAAAGGTTAGTTTTCATTTTATAAATTTCCTTTTAACTTTCATCAAAGAATATTAAAAATTCTGCATAGTAATAACTGTAAATGATGTCTAATAGCTACTCATTTAAGAGATTCACAAGTTTTTGTTTTTAATAGGTTGTGAGCAAAGGAACAGCAGATGGTCCTTCTGGAATACATTTAGCACTACGGAAACCTAAAGGAGAGATGTTACAAGAAACTCTAACCGAAGTGAATGGGAAATACACATTTTTGAATGTCATGCCTGGAAATTATTTAATTGAAGCTAATCACCCCACTTGGAGCCTGGAGAAATCCCAGATATCTGTGACTGTGACAGACGATAGTGTGGTCATAGATAAAAACATAGAAGTGGCCGGCTACGACGTGACCGGACAGGTCATCAGCGAGGGTGAACCCATCAAGGGGGTGCACTTCCTACTCTTTACGTCTGTCAACCAACCTTTGACACAGGAGATAAAAGGCTGTAAGAAAGAGCCAATCAAAAGCTTTGCCCGGAGACTGCATCTAAAATTCCTCTGCTACGTGTCTTCAGATGACGACGGAAGATTTACTTTTCCGTCTCTGCCATCTGGAAACTACAAACTAATTCCTTTCTACAAAGGAGAATACATAGAATTTGACGTCCATCCTTCAGAAATAGACTTTTCGGTCGAACAGGGAAGTGTAATTTTTGATGAGAATTTTCAAGTAAGTAATATTTTGAAATTTATTTACAATGAATTATTAACCACAGATTAAAACACATCCAATTTGACATATATTAGCATCTGTTTAGAGTGACATTTTCCAACCTGTAGTTTGCAGACCACCTGCGAATCCACAAAGGTGGTACTGGAAGTCCATGAATTAAATTAAAAATTTCAAGAAGCTGCAGGGTAAAATGTATAATTACTCATGATAAGGCTGATATAAAGTTAAAAAATTTTAATGCAATTTTGAAATCAGTGGAAATGGTCTAACTTTTTTAATGCTTTTTAAACTATTGGCCTTAAATGTAATTATACTCTTATTTCAGATCATTTTTTTCAAAATATTTTCAGAATTGCTCACCTTTTAAGAAAAGAAAACCTCTCTCCAAACCTTACAGCTTTAATTTCAGAAAATAATGCTTGCCATCACAAAATTACAATTGATGTATATTTGTTTGACATAATATTGCACAACCCCTACAATATATAAAATTAATTAATTTTCTCTCCTGCATGTTTCAGAAACTACTCTGACAAAATAGCCACATGATGGTGCACAGTGCAATCGATGTTGCCAATTTAGTACTTTTTACATTAGATTTAGTGCTGTTTTATGGTATTGGAGCAAAAAGAACATTGACAGTGGAGGCATTAAATCGGTACCTTTCAAACTAATTTAAAGCAAATTTAGCACTTTGTAAAATTTGACCATTTTAATTTTTTGAAAAATGCTGGCAACATAGAAATAACACAATGCCACTGGCAGTTCTGTATTATTAAATAATTCAGTATGACAATATTGGTTACATTCTGTTTATCACAAGTTGCAAAAATCATTGGCTGTGAGAAAAATATTTTGGAATATGCATCAAGAACAGACTTTATATTATCTATTAATGGAATGTTTTTTGTCAAAACTTATTATTATTTAATTTGTTAAATGTTTGTCTACGAGGACTAAGCTTATTTATAGGATGTATTGCACTGGTGTTTTGGTTTTTTGCAACCAAGGAAAAAACTTATTCAGAGGAACAAACAATCTTTGGTATAATACAAGGTGAAAATAAAAATTGATTGTTCCTCTGAATAAGTTTTTTCCTCGGTTGCAAAAAAACCGAAACACCAGTGCTGTAAAGTACTATTTGATTTTTATACGACATGGAACTATGTGCCAGTAAGGTTTTTGGGAATATCGCCGAACTTTATGACTGTTAACCTAATAGGTACTTTATGCGGGTTCATGGTTAGTATGCCAGGCCTGGGCTTACATGTGCACTGGAAATAACTATGTACAAGGTCAGTAAGACACTCAAATATTTAATATTAACTCAATTATTCACTATGTACAAATTAGTAAAGAATCAAAACAATTTATTCAATGAAAAGAAACAATCAACAAAACCTGACAAATATAATACAATTTACTTACTAACTTAGAACTATTCCCCCTTGGAACTCGACAATATCAATCAACTAACTATATACAACGAATCTTAGAAACTACAGTCCTGTCTGTCACCTCGATACTAGAAACCTTTTCCTTTTATCCAACTTCCTTTGAATTACTCCTCTCGCTATACTCAAAACTTGCTTCCAACCTCACTCTGGAACTAACCTCGATCGCTCTCTGGAATTTGCCTTGATCGCTTTCTGTCTGGAGCTCACCTCGCTCTATCCCTGTCTGGGGCTCACTTTGCTTGTCTTCTCAGGTTGTGCTTGTTTTATAGTCTGAGATGATGCCACAGTTATGTCTGGATTCACTCCCCTCATTTACATACTTAACTTCTAACAATAAATTTGCATGTCTTTTCCTGGACAGTCTAGTTTCCAACATTTCTTGCTAAAAATCCTTTTACATTATTCTTTTTTATTACATATTCAGGATGTTTATTTTATCAAGGTTTAGCGAGTTCTCTATTTTGTGCGTGTGGGGTGTTCCCCCTTCTTTCTGTGGAACTTCTTTCAAACCTCTGCCTGGGAGTGCGAGGGTGTGTTAGTTTCCCTATGGTGCTTCATCTAATCGGTGAATTGGTTTTTCCTTCGTCTCTTTTTGTTTCTGTTTCATTACTAAGGTGAGTGGTGAGGAAACCTTTGTCCTGACTAAACATAAACCCCAAACAAAATAGAATAAAAAGCAAAATAAAAATTAAATAATAATACAGCTCGGACTCAGTTCCTTACACTGCAATATGTCCTATTAATAAGCTTAGTCCTCGTAGACAAACATTTAACAAATTGTAGAAAATAAGGACATAGAGGCATCTGAATTAATAGTTATTATTATTTTTTCAAATTTAAACATATTAAAAAAATTGGTTACTTACCAGTGAGTAAGGTAATATATTTAATGTATCATATCCATGCATTCATATAACGATAAAAGAAATAAATTTTATGGATAATATTTAACACACTTATTTTCTCAAATTGTTAGATATACAGGGTGTATCAGAATGACATTTCAAAAATTTGAGGGATTGTACAGGATGAAATTTTGAACGTTTTGATATAAGGAACCTATAGCTGGAAATTTGAACTAAAGTGTCTACAGTGGTAGAAAGTGCTTGACTGCCCTTCATTTTGGTAGCTACCCTTCCATTCATTGCCGTCATGTTATTACTGCAGATGGAAGATTGTAAACACACAACTACAGTGGTCTAACTGAGCCTATGTACAGGACGTTGTATACTTAGTGCTTGTTGTCCTTTAGGTCACTATCAGAGGGAAGCGTGGCATACAGAGAGTCGGACAAAACATGGTTTGTCGTTGCACATTATGTAACAAAGTTGTGGTCGTCACATTGAACATTTACTCTAAAGTAGTGCAGCCATTGATTTGATGTACAGTTTGATTGTTCTCTACTGTTTGTCAATAAAACTTGTCATAAATACTGTATTCTGCTGTTTCATTCAGCATACCGACTGCATAGAAAGTGAAAAGTGCTGTAGACACTTTAGTTCAAATTTCCGGCTATAGGTTCCTTATATCAAAATGTTCAAAATTTCATCTTCTACAATCCCCTAAATTTTTAAAATGTCATTCTGATACACCCTGTATTTGTTCAAGGTTTCTTGACAATCTGGCAGTCATAGTACAATAGGTCCTGAGCCTTAAACTTTTCCAGTATTAAATTGGTCTTTGATAAGATTGTATTACATGGAACAAACATTTGTTTATATATGGTGACATCCAAATATTATTAAGTGACTAGTACCAGTACACGGAGCTTGTTTTCCTGACTCCTGAACTATAATACTCAATATACAATTTAGTATTAAAGTTCAGTCATCAGTTAGCTACAAGTTAACTACATCAGTGACAAGAATTTTCATGTTTATTATATATCTGATCATATGATCCCAATACTGATGGATCAGTTAAAAACCGAAAGCACATTAAAATAAAAAAATAGCGATAACAGAGATGAAGGTGCAACACATTTAAAGAGTAAAATACTGACTCAACAGTCAAAATGCAAAATTTATAAATATTGTGATGAATACATATCCTTTAGATTTATGTGCAGAAACTATGTGAACAGAGGCTACAGTATGTTGTCTGTTACAAAATGTTATCTAATGAAAGTATGAGGCCAGCCAAACTTTGCCAGCATTTAGAAACAAAATATAAAGAACATGTCAACAAACCTGTTGAATATTTTCAAAGACAATGGCAAGAACTGCATTTGAAACAAAATTCAATAGAAAAAAATAGCAATTGGTTCTGATGGTAAAAATGCTGCATTAGTTTCTTATGATGTATCTCTTTTAATAGCAAAGAGCAGAAAACCTTGCATGATAACAGAGGAACTAATTCTGGCTGTTGCTGAAGCAACTGCTTGTAGAATGAATGGAGATAAAATAACAAGGAATTATAATATGATTTTATTGTCAAACACCACTGTGAAGTGACAAATAGAAGTTATGTCTGATAATATTAAAAATCAACTAATGAAAAGAGTGTTCAAAGTCGATTATTTTTTGCAATTAGATGGAATATTTTTAACAGTGCTGATTTTTTGTATGTTCATTTGATATTAATTTGATGTTACATCCAGTGAAGATTTTCTGTTGTTTATAAAAACTCTTCCTTTACATTCTCACACTTTTAGTTCTTTGTGAGGATATAGGTAGTACCCATAAACAACTATTGGAAGAAAACCAATGCAAATCATCTTGAATACATTGGCTTTTTTGTACTAAAGTACAGTGGAACCTCGGTATACGACCTTAATCCGTTCCCGATGTTTGGACTTATACCGAATAGGACATATACCGAACCAACCTTTCCCATAAGAAGTAATGTAAAAATGATTAAGCCGTTCTCATGAAAAAAATGGCTGGCTTTAAACACCTCTCTTTCCTGCTTGATTTTTCACGAGATTAGCATGTATCTTTTTAGCTTTCTTGCAAATAATTGCTTCCGATATGCTGTCTCTAGCACGCTGTTTTTCAGTTATCCAAAGCAAAAGCAATTTTTCAACATGATCTAATGTCTTCGATCTCTGTTTAGAAATTGATTTAACCCCTTTCGCAACGTTAGCAGATTTAATAATGCTTTTATTTTTCACGATTGTCGATATTGTCGTTCTCAAAATATGGTATGCAGCAGTTAAATCTCGAACACGCTACCACCTTCATAGTTCTCAACAATCTCTTTTTTCAGTTCCATTGTGATTCTTTCTAGTCATTTTTTTAGTTTTCTGTTGCTTTTCATTTGCCTTTTTGCAATTCGTGATTAATAAAAATAATAAAATTTTACTTACAAATTAAAATCAGAAGAAATTTAACAAAGTTATAAACTGTGGCACCGTGAACATCTAGTCTGGTCTAGTACACTGATAGTGCTACTTGTTCATTCGCGTATAATTGAATTATATCGTATACCGAGCAAAATTTATTTCGTTCAAACAGGACGTATTCCGAATTGGACATATTCTAAAGCAGACGTATACCGAGGTACCACTGTACTTACCTGCATATTTGAGTTATGTAATGAAATATAATTGTTTTTTCATGATAAATCATTTTGTGGGAGTGAGTGGTTCAATAAGTTTTCCTGGCTAGTTATGGTGGTATATATCAGACATTTCTACATATTTGTAAGACCTAAATTTGAGCCTGTTTGAAGTAGATCTGTAGCTATTTTTAAAGTTGAAGATAAAATGGAAGGCACAATCATGAAATTAGACTTGTGATCTAAACATATGCAAAATGGTGTGTCTGAATTCTTTTCAATACACTGACTTTCCTGCAGCACCCTCTGAAGAAATTAGAAACTTTTTCAAACCTTGTAAATGTTGTGTGAATAACTGTTGTAAGGATTATTTTTCTCTTCCTGATATATTTGTATCACCCAGAATAACAAGTGGTCAAATCATTTTACCTAGATGTAAAGAATTGAAAGATTTAACTGGGAGTGAGGAAAATAGTCTTGTCAAACTTTTGTATGACCTTACTAAGGTCACGTTTCATTCAGTACTTATCAGATTTTTGGTTATGTGTATAAAATGAGTACCTAAAACTGGCATCCAAAGCACAGATATTTAATGCCATTCCCCATTACATATTTATGAGCAGACTGAGCAGACTTTCTTCAGCTATTTAAATAAAATCAAAATATAGAAACAAGATGAATATGGAACATGACCTACATTTAAAACTATCTGCCATTGAACCTGAAATTCAAAACATAGTATCAACAATGCAGCATCAACCATCTCATTAAACCAATTAGTTTTTTAATATTTTCATTTATTTCATTGTTTATTCAATTAAATATGTTTTTTGTTGACAGATGAAACTGGAAAAAATGAGTTTGTTGTTTAGTTAACAAAATTGGATCATCAAGTAGATCACTAGAGTAGATTGCATTTCCTTTCAAAAATTTGGGTTCTAAATGAAAGGGTCCTTTGTACTGAAAAGGTTAGGAACCACCAGTATAGAGTCAAAAAGATTCCTTACATATATGTCATAATAATTGTAATCAAAGCAATGCAAACTGAAATAAGTTTATTCATTCCAATTGAAACATGTTCCACTTGTCACCACAACTTATTCACTAAGTTTCAATATTAAACGTGAAAAAGTGTTCAATACTGAAACTTAATGTTTTTGTACAGTACTTAATGAAATATGTGCATTTTCTTTCACATTTTCCAGTTTTTCTACCATTCCAAACTCTTATCTTGTAAATTATTAGTATAAGAAGTTTCTGATAATGTATTTGCTATAATTGTTTAAGAGGTGGAGAGAATTTGTTGTCTCTGTATCAATAAGACATATTTACCTTAGAGAGGAGTCTTATTGATACGGATGCTTTTTCTTTGATAATGATAAAAACATAATACAGAAATTATAGTATGTAAGGAAGGCAGATTGCAGATATTTAACTTGTATTTTGAAACTTTTAGCAAAATTCGTGTAAGCGAATTTATCTACCATTAAATTTTTAATCTTGGAATTATGGGTGATTTAATGGCTTTACTTATTTATTTCTCAATAAGAAATTAATTCTGTGCATAAAACTTATGCAACTTTCTTGTTAGGTGTTGTACTTCCTCATTAAGTGATGTGCCGAGAATTGTGCTTTGAAAATGCATTGATCTGTAAAGTTATGCAAATTTTTACACACATTTGTGTTTCCCTACAGTAAGTGTCAATGGGTAGAAATATATTTGAAGCAGTTTTTAAACTAGCAGTTTTTCAAATGAGATACAATATTCTAGATCTAATGATAGATTGTTAATATACATGTATGTACTATAGAAACATAAGTAAGATAAATTTTTTCTTTTAAGGTACAAGGATTCAGTGTGAGTGGAAAGATTGTGGTGACTCCAAGTGGGAAAGGGATAAGTGGAGCCAAAATTTATTTAGATGGAAAAGAGCAGGCAACAAGTCAGGAAAATGGAATTTATCACCTAGAAAATATGAAAACGGGAATGTATAAACTGGAAGTGAAAGTTCCTTACGTTAACTTTGACCCGATTGTCGTGAAAATAACTCCAAACACACCCCAGTTACCCGAAGTGGTGGCTACAGAATTCAGTCTGTGTGGGGAAATTATGATTTCTCAGCTACCCAGAAAAATCGATACGGAAGTACCTCGGCGAGTTAGCATTTCTTGGGATAAAGAGGAGATTAGTATTTTGGCCGAGGAAGATGGGAAATTCTGTGCATTTGTCAAACCGGGAACTTATGTTATAAAACCCGTTGTTTCTTCGCAGGAAGAAGAATATGGACTTAAATTTTCTCCCCCGGAAAGAAGGGTGACCGTTCTCCAAGAACCTGTCCTGTCGATTAGATTTGTGCAATATTTAGGTGCAATAAAAGGAACTGTTAAATGTTTGCAAAAGTGCAGTAACATTCAGGTTTTAGTGACCTTCATAGATGGATTGTATCATAAATATATACCTGTGATTAATAACAAATTTGTGATAAATGATCTTTTTCCGGGTAAATACGAAATTTCGGCTTTAAAGGAAGAGTGGTGTTGGAAACGATCAAAGGTAGAAGTTACAATAGTGTCCGAAGACGTTTCGAATGTCATTTTGGAACAAATTGGTTATCACGTGACAATTAGTCCGTCCCATGGTACACGCATTAGAGTTGTTTATCCTTCGAAATCTGTTCACGAAATGAATGTCGAAAAAGGTATAAGTGTTCATTGTTTTCCGGAAGTTGGTGTGTACGAATTAACTCCTGTTGGATGTCATGTCTTCCAAGATAAAACGATTTCTTATGATACCGAAAATCCTTCTGTATTGCAACTGATTGCCACTAAGCATGTTTTGACTGGTATTGTATTATCTGAAGAAAATGTCTCTGATATCATTTTGACAGTCAACAAACACAGCAATGGAGATAAAGAAGCGGAAGTTTTAGCACTAGGACTGCCACAGGAGAAAAATGGAAAAGTGTTTACTTATAAATTTGCAGTTTGGGTTCAACCATATACCAACTTAGATGTGGAACCATCGTCTGGAAAGTTATTGTTTCGTCCACCAATGGCACAGATTCACGTTCTAGATGACTGTATGGAAGAAGCTGTCAGCTTCAAAGGCATCAGTGGACTTTTCATTAATGGTGATATAGTTCCTCCTTTGGAAGATGTAAAGATAGAAGTTAAAGACAGTTCGGATAAAGTTGTTGCAAATGTTCGATCTGACAAATTGGGCAAATTTTCCGTCGGTCCCCTCGACAGTGAACTTTCTTATGAAGTTTCTGCAGAAAAAGAGGGATATATATTAAAAAGATTAGATAAACTTGGACATTTTAAGGCATTCAAACTTGCCGAAGTAAATGTTTTTGTAGAAAACGAAAATAAAGAACCTTTGTCAGGTGTTTTGCTTTCTCTCAGCGGTGGTGTAGACTACAGAAAAAATAGTGTCACTCAACAAAATGGCCAGCTATCATTTTTAGAACTCAGTCCAGGACAATACTTTTTGCGGCCAATGCTGAAAGAATATCAATTTGTTCCGTCTGCCAAAATGATTGAAGTGACAGAAGGAGCTACGATAAAGATAAAAGTCAGGTAAAAATTTTGTTAGACACCAACCTAAGCTGAATGCTATTGGGCTAGAAATGGCTATATTTCTAAATAAATTATGCAAACAATTTGGCACTAGAGGGAGGTGTTAGGTGCCATCTCGTAATAACTTTATAATTTTTATTTAATTAATTTAAATAATTTAGAACTACTGGAAGAAAAAATTGGCCTGGAGCCGGGACGCGAACCCACAACTCCTACTTCCCATGCAGATGCTTTGTCGGTTATGCTACCTGGTCCAATCTCCTCTTCCAGTATATATAAATTTACATTATAACCATCGATAGTTATTACAATGCCAGTTGGGAATGCATCCAGTGCCCATGTCCTGTAAATATCTAAGGCAGTGGTTCTTAATTTTTTTATACTCACGGCCTACCAAATATTTCATAATTTTTTATGACCCCCATTTTTTTAATAATTTATACTTGTTAAATTATCTATAATAAATTGATTTTTTTATTATCGCTTTATTTTTTTATATAATATATGTAAAACATAACTTTATTATTTCATTTTCTATTTAAATAACATTCAAACTTCACAATTAAACATAAAAACTCATTAATTTTTAACAAAAAGTAAAATAAACATTTAAAAATTCATAGAAAAAACAAAAAATATTCAAAAATAATTTAATGAGATTTCTGCTGCTGAATATCCTCAACTAATTTGTTAATTCTTGGTTCAGTTGTTTGTAATACTATCCACCTGTGGGCATCTAATCGCAATCGATTGCATTTTGTTTTTGTTTTTATATCCACCATAGTTGAGAACCCTTTTTCACACAAATATGTACTAGTGAAAGGCAGCAAATTTTGCATTGCTGCTGAAAACAGGGGAAGGATATTCTGCATGAATTTGTATCCAAAATTCAGACAAACTTTTAGTTTAGAAAACAGATCTCAAATTACAATCATTTATTAATTCTAATAATGTATCTTCATCAGCTGATGATAAATTGGTATTTTTATAATTGTTTTATGGATCTTGAATCCATATTTTTGTAATGTGAACTTCATCATTAGGAAAATATTTATCAAATTTATCAATTAATTTTAAAAGATGACATTTAATTAAGGAATTTACATTTTGTTTCTCAAATTGAAATTTTGAATCAGAGGTTAATTGTGAATAGAATGAAAACATTTCTTATATATTTGAATATATTCTTTGGATTCATCTTTGTAATTTCATTTTCATAGCCTCAATTTTGTTATACATATTAAAAATATTAGATTGAGGTTCTTGCATAGATAGATTTAACTGATTTAGAATTGTAAAAATCTGCCAGATACGACAGTTTAGCAACCCAATTATTGTCATCAAAATAGCTTGATAGGCTGGATTTTTTATCTTTTAAAAAAAGTTCAACTTCCAGTCTCAATTCAAATAAATGAGTAAAGATTTTTCCTCGTGAGAGCCGTCTCATTTCTGTGTAAAATAGGAGAGAAGTATTATCTGTGCCAACTTCACAAAAAATTGAAAATAATCTTGAATTTAGTGCATTTCCCTTTATGAAATTTATAATTTTTACTGAAATCATAACTTCATTCAATTCTGTACTAATTTCCTTGGAAGCTAATTGTTCCTTATGAATTAAACAATGAACAGTTATTATATTTGCATGCACAATACATTTTATTCTTGATTTAACACACTTATAACAACTAGTCATAGAGGCAGCACCATCTGTGCAAATTTCAACACAGTTTTTCCAGAGTAAGCCATTAGAACTCAGAAATGAATTGATTTTGTTAAATATATTTTCACCTGTTGTATCTGTTTCTAAATCTATGCAAAAGAGAAATTCTTCAGATATATCCATTTTTATATAATCAATAAATCGCACGTATCCTAAGCAGATGATCCTGTTAGAAATATCTGTAGATTCATCTATTTGCAATGAAAACCAAAGAGAATTTTTAATATTGCTAGTTAACTGTTCCTGAAGATCATTAGCTATCAATATAGTCCTATTACAAATTGTATTGTTTGACATAGGTATTTCTTTAAATTTGTTTGACACAAATGGTTCAAATAGTTCTTTACAAATATTAAACATGGCAGGTTTTAATAATTCTCTGGCTATTGTAAATGGTTTTTTTGCTTTAGCAACGTGAAGAGCTACAATAAATGAAGCTTTTAATAATTCTTATTTTTAGTAGTTGTCACATTTATGAGTGTCTTTTGATTTTTTAATTCATCTTTTTTTCTTATAAAAAAAATCCTGCGTTTTATTTTTATATTGTTTGTGCTTAGAATTTAAATGCTTCAACAATTTATGTATTTGGTTTCATTGCTTCATTGGCAAGAACTACACTGCATGTGATGCATTGTGGTTTTGTAATTCCTTGAACTTCTATGCTTACAAACCCATATTTGATATAATCATGATCATATTTTCTAATTTTAATGTTACTTAATTTTATACCTTCAGTTTTAAGACTTGTGGTTTTTTTTCCGTTGCATTTTTCACTGTATCATCATTGGAACTTTCACTAGTATTTTCTTTTTGAAGATCCTGGTCTGCAATTACTTACATTAAAGAATTTTCTAATGTTCCTTTCTGTTTTTTGCCCATTTTTATTGGTTAATTATAAATAATTAAAACTAAACACACAACATAAGAAAGAAATGCACTATTATTCGATCCAAAGTCGATGCTAAAACTAAACTAAAACACCCACAACTTGTCGTAAAGATTTTGCATATCTTTTGCAAAAACTATTTAAATTTTCAAAGCCTATTCTAACCTAACCTAAGCCTAATATTTTTCCTAATTATTTTTAAAATTCCAAGCATTAATAGTTTCTTAGAATTACTTTGGAATAAAAGAAGTAAATACTGCAGTGTAAGTAACATATTTGCATTTATTTCTTTTGTACTAAAGAAATAAGAAGTAAATAAAAAAAACTAAATACGAAAACTTTATCTTTCTTATTTCACTTTTCAATACGATATTCGGTTAAACATCAATTTTCTTATTATTATATTCCAAAGGGAATTTTGCATAATTTGGCAGCCACTCAACAAACTTCTTATAGACCTCCAGGGGGCTGTGGTCCCCCTGTTAAGCAACAGCAACACTGTCCCAGGGTTTGCGATAGCTGGAAGTTCCTTAAGAGATGTTTACAGGATGTGGGTGCTGGATGCGTTTCCAACTGGCATTGTAATAACCATTGATGGTTATAATGTAAACTTATATATACTGGAAGAGAAGATTGGACTTGAGGTCTGGGTAGCGTAACTGGCAATGCATCTGCACAGTAAGCATGAGTTCTGGGTTTGAGTCCCACTCCGGGCTAATTTTTTTTCTTCCAGTAGTTCTAAATTATCATTTTCTAGCCTGATAGTATTCAGCTTTGGTTGGTATCTAGCTTTATAGTATATCAGGTTTAGCAACGTTGTTTGTTTAAAAATTTTGTTGTTACTATTTTGTTAAGGTGTTTTAATTCTAATTAAATTTGTTCAATTTCAGTGGAAAACGTGTGGCTTTTAGTTGCTATGGAATAGTGAATTCACTGACTGGAGAAGCGGAACCGGGTGTCGTCGTCGAAGCGGTGGGGGCAGAAAACAGCAGTTGCAGCCTGTACCAGGAAGAGGCAGTTAGCGAACAGGATGGTTCTTTCAGAATACGTGGCCTGCAACCCAAGTGTGAGTATACCGTCCGCCTGAAAATGGTTCCCGAAGTAAATCAGCACATCGAACGAGCCACGCCCAAAACTCAAGTCATAAAGGTAATTAAGTTTATTATATTTATTGTTTATATTATATATCTGCATCCTTTAAGCCACAGTATATTTGAAAGTAGTGCAAAAAAATTTGCATTCTACAATTAATTCAACTATGTTTGTCATGCAAAATAATTAGTCTGAATTACAGAATTATAAATCATTAATCCTTATTGTCCAGTATATTGTCAATAAATTAGTATAGAGTTTTGGGGCAATATATTCTATTCAAAGCAATGCAAATCTCAAATCTGCATGATGGCTATGATCTTTTGGTGATGTTTTAATATAGTATTTTGGACCCGGACACATGATTAAAAGCTGTCATATTAATGAAAAAAAAATTTTTAGATTGAGTCTTCCGACGTCACCGGAATCCGCCTGATTGTCTTTCGCCACTTTAATCAGATGGACGTTAGTGGAAATGTTGTGACCAATCAAGAATATTTACACACTTTAAAGGTAAATAGATAAAGCATAAAATTTAAAATAAAATTTAATAATGCTGTTTTATGTAGAGGATTAAACTAGAATAGATATAAAAGATTCTTTTACGTTATACATATTAAATATTTTTAGTAAAATTTTCAAAATAATAATTTTGAAATTGTTATTGGGAAAACAGTTCTACAAGTTGCCCAAAAGGAAATAAAACAAATTACATTTGGCTGATTGAATACAATTTTTTAAAATTAATTTAGTATTCAATTGTTATTTAAGCAACAGACAATAATATCTATATGAGCAACTTTTAATGCTCGTATGTATATTTAAGAATCTTGTTAAGTTTGTTCATAGAAGTGTCTCAGAAAAAATAGCAATTTAGGAAAAATACAATGTTATTGGGTTGTTCTGAAAGTAAGTTCGTTTTTTTTACCACTAGACGGTATTTTTTCCGTCATTTTCATTCTAAACCGTATTATCATTATATATTTTGACAGCTAGCATTTTATGGCTTATTTGTAAAAAATTTTGTTTGATTTCGTGCAATTGTTTATTTTTCGTGTCCCATCAAATATGGAAGACCGAAAGCAGCATCTTCGGCATATTTTGCTTTTTTATTACCAAAAAAATAAAAATGCCGTTCAAGCGAGAAAAAAATCGTGTCACATGTATGGTGGAGATGTGTTGACAGAATGACAGTGCCAAAACTGGTTTACAAAATTTTGTTCTCGCAATTTCAGTATTGAAGATGCACCATGTTATGGATGGCCAATTGAAGCCAATGAAAACAAAATAAAAGTAC